TTTAGGGGTTAGCCAAATTTCTATTATAATGGCGATGTCCGTGTATTGGTGTGATAATTAAGAGTGTGATAAAGAAGAGGTTCAGATTTATGGATTGAGGTTCATTAATTTAGTCCGAGAATTCGATGTTGTCATGGTGATTTGTTTGTTGTGCTGAGAATGTGACAACAAACAAATCGATGTTACAGCTTTAGCACATGTGATACCAGATCTAGTTTTATGGATTGATTGGGCGAAAGGAGAGGGAGTGGGAATTCTTTTGGGGAAGTAATTAAGGGAAATGCTCTAAGGAAGGAGAAGTACGGGATACGAAATTATGAGTGAAGGTCCTTTGATTTGTAATTGCTCTTCTTGTATAGGAAGGCTAGCAATGCTAGGCACTGAAAATAGTTTGCAGGATGATTGCCTTTACAGTTGGTACGTGGATAGTGTGTGGGTTGGCATGTGAGTAGTGTGTCAAATGCTTTGAAGTAAGTGCGTATTTTACACAAACTGCTTTTTTGTTGCAGTCTGATGTGCCATGCGCTTGACAACGGAAGCATTGGATGGAGGATTTGTGGGATTCAAATGTTTGGGAGTAAATTATGAGATTTTCCACATACCTGATATGATTTTCTTGGGTTAGGATTGCCCCGCGAGAGAAAGGTGATGGGGTAGATGGAATATCTTGTATGAATTGGGATTTCGGTGCAGTACACGAAGGCCTTTTGATGCTATTACAAATTCTGGCTTCAGGAAGGCGTATTTATAATTTTAGAATCACTCTTGGAGTTTTTTTTTTATTGATTTTTGTATGTGGGGGTACTCTATATTATCTTTTTGGTATATTCCTTTGAATTCTAAGAAATCGCTTACGTTGGTACATTATTTAAGTATGTCGAATGTGTATTTCACTTGGAATGCATTATTGTATTCAGCTTTTAGTACGTTAAGTAATTTGATGTAGTTCCACAAGATCCACAATTTTTTCGAAATTTTTCCAATACGAAATTTTAAAATCCGCAAAATATGTACTAGAATTTGGGCATGTAACCACCTTCATGCTGTGATTCAAACTTTTAATTAAGATTGGTTTTCGCTTAATGTATGGAGAAGAATTATTGGAGACAATATTATCGGTCCTTTTTGCTTACTGAATATAATTGGTGCAAATTAGATCGCTTTTCATAAATCTATTATATCACTTCATTAGACGACATGATATTTATTTTATGCACGATGGGGCATCATCGCATTTTGTTAGACCTGCGCATGAATTTTTATCAGAAATGTTTAGAAGTCGATAGATAATAGCGTAGACCTGCATCTCATTTATGTATATATATTCTCTATCGACTTATTTTTCTAAGGAACAATGCCGATCAACACAATCAATACGATCTGTGCAATAATTAAAATTAGAAGAAGAAACTTCCCGTCCTATTCAATCTACAGTGTGTACAGAAAGTATTTGTACTCTGATGAGTTGAAGTTTTTAAATAATATTTTATAAGTAATTTCATAAATAATTTGTGTAAAAAATAATATCTAATAAAAAAATCTATACATAGTCATATCATAAGTCATAAAAAAATATCACTCGTTTGTATAATTTGTAAAAATGACAAAAAAAATTGATAAATTAACAGCATTATACGAGAGAAAAATATTCATACAATTACTGTATGACAATAAGTTTTAATGAGAAAAAGGTAATTTAAATTAAATTTACTATAATGTATATATTATCTTACAATAGTTAATACTTCGTAGGATTTCTTTCTGATTATTATTAGACATTACAAGACATTAAATTTACTAAATTTGCTTTTAAATAGGAAGGGATTTTATTTTATTCTTCCAAAAGTGTATTTTTAAAATCATTTTTTGAAGAAATTTGATACTTTATAATTTCAAGTTCCAGATAATCCCACAAATGTTCAATAAGGTTAATATCTCGCGATTGTGGACGCTTTTTTATGCTGGTGTATTGTGTAGAATCCACATTCTCGTATTGAATCCAATATGCTTTGGATCATTACCGTACATAAAAACAAAATTGTCTTTAGTCCCCATTTTTTCAAATCTCAATATAAATCTGTTCATTATTTTATGAATAAACTGTAATCCCAACAACATATGCACACAACTAAATAATTACGCTTTCATAATGGGCAATAAGTTTTTTTGCATTAAGTTCTTCATTTTTTGTTTTTTTTTTTCTTTACACAATACAATATCTATTTGATCTAAAAATGTTAAACTTACTTTCGTTTGTGAAAACTACTTTGTTCTAATACTCCATTGATGTATTTACGTAAATTGTTTTTTGCAAATTCTAATCTTTTTTTTTTTTTGTTCGTTTCACTGACAAAAGATTTTTTCCAAGCTACTCTACTGTGCAATGTTTAAATTATTTTTTAACGTCCACAATATTTATTGTACTTGTTTCTGGATTTTGTTTAATCATTCGAATAATAATCCATATACTGATTGATTTTCTGCGGACTTCTTAACTTATTTTCCAGAGTTTTTTTTAATCGTATCTACCAATTAAATTTTGTACAGTAGATCTTGATCTATTAACAATTCGTAAAATATCTACCAAACTTTCACACTAGTTGTGTAAATTAATAATTTTGTTCTCTATTGTGAACTTTCGTACCTTTCAATAATATTCTTAAATAGTGCAAAGTTATAAACGCTAATGAAGCCTGGTGATAATGTTTCTCAGTATACTAGTATGATTAATCATTATTAGAAAGAATCATTATTTACACATGGAAATTCTGTTATATCAAGAGTGCCATAAGAATTGTATGAATATTTTCCGCTCGTATATTTTTACTGATTTATCAATTTTTTTATCAATTTTGCAAATTATGTAAACGAGTAATATTTTTTTTTGTGCTATGTATTCTGTAGAAATATAGAATACTTCAAATAAGTATAGATTCATTTTTTTTACAAAAATTATTTAATAAACAATAATTATATTAAAGTTTGCTTGAAAATCATCAGTGTACGAATACTTTCTACATTCACTCAACATTCAGGAAAAATTTAAAAGCAAGATGAAAACTCTGTTTACGTAATAATAATGGTCATATTGACTCTGGTGAACAAATATGACTATTAAAAGGTATAAATACTAATGGTTTCATTTTATGGGTTAAGAAGGAGAAACGTAAGAAAAGATATGATGTGTTTACAGATTTTTTCGAAGTGATTACATCCAAATATAATATCGCGATACAAAATATATATGTAATAATACACTCAAAAATAATCATTTTATGACGTCAATGACGATGTCAGGAACTTGAATATCAAGAGAATGGATCATTTGCGATACTTATAGTGAGTAGAATATGATGCAATAATACAAAAATTTGACCTTGAAATTCAAGGTAATGATTAATTTTGCGACAAATGTTTTTTTTAATTTTCACTAATCTTTAGAGATGTAGAATCACCTGTAAGAGCCACACTAAATTTTGTTACACCTTATATGTATATATTGTTCTGTGAACAGAAAGTGAATTACCTACTTTGTTGATTGTGGCGGCCTATAGTTCATCGAGTACGAGTTTCGAACACCGACTTGTACAAGCCACAAGTGGCTGTGCGCCTAGCGTCGAAGTCTTAGCGATATTCGATGTTAAGCAAACAGAGTGCGGAACACCGCTAGGATGGGATGATGTGATCATCCAGCCTAGCGAGTAGTTATAACAACAAGCGTCTGAGGTAAGGGGTCGCTGCCATCAGCCCCACTGATGAGTCTTAGGCAGCGACTCTGAGATGAAACGCACAATCCTCACCTTACCCACATTACCACTTCCTACATTATCCTCGCATCATCATCAACACTTTCAATCTCTTCAAGTGGTGATAGCCCGACGATGATATGAACACGCAACCTAATTCAACGAACAACAAAAGGAAGGGACGACACATCAACGAAGAGGGCAACAATCATCAGGAAGGACCAGACGCCTATCAAGGATGCAACATCAAGAAAGGATGCCACAACAACGATAATTGGCCACGGCATATAAATCGGTCGCAGTGGGAGATACGCTAATACACATGCAGCACCTCCACCGAAAGCAGACGGTCATAGAGAAAAAGACGCCCAATAGGCCCGCGCAAACAGCGCTTCCGCCGAATGCAGACGGTCGCAGAGGAAAACGTGCGCGTATGCGTCGGGGTCCACCAGTTTTAGTGTTTTAGTAACGTTTATTTACAGAAGTAGTACAGAGTTTATACAACAAACGGACTTATCGTCCAAACACTACTAATACACAAAGATTAATGATTGCGAGTAAGGGAATGCGCACAGGCAGCACGGTAGAGAGATATACTTACTGACGTGGACGTTGGTACCCAGGAAGAACTAATAAGTAGTGATGCGTTGGAGTCGGGTCTTATATACCCCCGACTCTTTTGTGTTTTTTCCAGGTCGAAACGTCTGGAAGTTTTTTTGTTTAATTGGGAACTGCACGGTCAGGGCCATGAGAGTTTTTTTTTTGGCAATTACCTCATGGCCTTGACGGTACTGCGTCCCAGGGTCCAAGTAGGTTGAAGGCGACATATTTATTTTATAATTTATGGTGCTGCCTGGGTCGTGTCCCCTACATTAATATTGGAAGTTTCAACACTCTAATGAGTAGCAAATAGTGTGATAATTAAACTAGAACTCAAAATGATAAAGAACCACTTGAACTGTGCGGATTCGCAAGAATAAGAATAATTAGCAATTCAGTCGCGAACATCATGATCAGCAAGTACGAATCGTCATAATCAACGAAAACTATTCATGACATGGTCATCGAACGAGATTTCCTCGACAGAAGCTCATATCGTGTTAATAGCTAATCAATTTTTACTGTATATTGTAGAATGTAAAAATATATTTGTTTATCAACGTTTTCCATGATTGTAATAATTTTAGGAAACGAAATAATGCATTGAAATAATACTCACAATCAGTAACGTAAAATATAAGATCATTACATTACCTTGTAATACTGTGTCAGACAGTAAGGACACTTTTGAAATTTTCGATCGATATCTCGCAAATAGCCTTGTTTTGGTTTAATTTCGACACAGAACGTTTTTCTAGTTCGAAAATTAATAGTATCGAATTTTATTGGAAGGAACGTATAATCTGGAAATTTTGTGGCATATGTCTCCATAATTTCCTTATTACGTCGTTTATCTGAAAACAAAAAAGAAAATTTTAGAATTCAATCAATATAGAGTATTCATTTCACACAAATTCATGGTCGATTAATTAGCGAATAATAGATAGAAAAATTTATTGAAAATAATATACATTGATAAGTATATGTTTTCATATTATTAGAGTACATAGAATATATACATATGCGTTATGTAAATTTAAAACAAAGAAATCATGCATCATGATCAATAACAGAAATCACGCAATTCAAGAATAGTTGAATGAGTAAAAAATCACTGAATGAGTCATAAACTCGATAACTTTTAAAAGATTAGGACAACGATCCTTTTAAATACCATTCATGTTAGGTAAAAAATATTTTTTGCATCATCACAATTAGCAAAGATATTTAGATAACCTCATTTAAATGGACCACTCTGTATAATTGTTTTTGGGATTTTATGCTTTCGTAAGTTCGCTCGCTCACTTATTTTTTCTTCTTAAAAATGCGCTCAGGGCCCAAGAGAAGGTTGAATATTTAATAAGCATATCGATTGGTTTTCTCCATACGATGACCAATTATAATTTTTAACTTCATCCTCGTTTAGTCATTGCGAAACGCTCGACTAAATTCAGCAAGCAAAAATCATTTCAACAGTCAAATTGTTCAAATATGAATATCGTTGCGTATTAATTGCTTGTCTCAGTGTTTACAGAAAATCGATAAAGATCTTTGTTTGTCATTTTCTGATGTTTGTCATGTTCTAGAAAAAGTTATTTTTCTAGAACAAGAAAGTTAGGAGAATTTAAATTATTCAATTGAAAAGGCCAAGTTCTGTTCTTTCAGTACGTAAGACAATATTCCACACTCGAGTTTTAGTAAAAGGCTAGAATAGCAATTGCGAGCGTCATAAATCTTAAGTTTTCTAAGGACCCACACGCGGGCTGAGATGCTTGCGAAACAATAATTTATAAAAATCGGACCCGGAAGAAACCCCGCTGCGTTTTAAACCAACAATTAAGAAAAGGTTATTTCCAACGAAATTGCATCCGCGCTTTTGAAAAAGTACATTACGAGCGCGAAGAATAGGTGACGCAATTTCGAGACAACTTAATTATTGGCTAAAACCTAAAAGCGACATAGCCAATTGGGAAAGTCTAGAAGAAGAACCGAGGCTTCATGAAAACCGCAAAAAGAAGAAATAGTCAGTTCAGTCATAGCCTTTAGTTAGAGTTGAGTAGAGTCAGAATTCGTAGCTCAAATCGAGAAAACAGAGTCCAATTCAGGAAACGCAGTTGAGAATAGAGTTCGCGATTAAAGAGTCAACGAGCGAATTTTCGAATGAGTCTCTGACATTGTATCCAAGTTAAATAAACAAAGCGCACGCGAAGCTTGCATCGGTCGATATCATCGCATATATTCTCGAAAATAAACTTTGAAACTATAACAAACCATTAATATATCTAACTCTAAAGCCAACAACGTAGTAATAACAAAGTGTAAGCAGATATCGCCTAACACAAAAAATGTTTTCAACTACTTCTTGGTCTGAACATATTCAACAAAATCAACTAACTACAGAAACGATTCAATGGCTTTCTTCTCAAAGCGAATCGCAATCATATCTCAACTCCCTTCATGTTAGTGACATAAGGATGATAAACGATCAAAAAGAAAATGCACACTAGCAAAATGTCAAGAAAAGAAAAAGAAATATTTCTCTAGAAATTGCCAAAGAACCACAGGCAACTATCACAATCAACCATTATTCACCGTTATCAAATGAAGATGATTTAGATTAGGATACAATGATAACTCTCCTCGCAGTAATGACAAAAGTCCAAAATCTTTTAAACCTCTACCGATTTACACATATGGGGTCAACGACCACAAAGGTATGATTGGTGTAGCGGCCTATGATTCCTTAAGTATGAGATTCGAATACCGACTAGCAGCCGCAAGTGGTTGTGCGCCTAGCGTCGAAGCACCTGCGATCTTCGACGTTAAGCAAACAGAGTGCAGAACACCGCTAAGATGGGTCACCGTCCAGCCTAGCAGGTAGTTAACAGCAAGCGTTTGGGGTAAGGGGTCGCTGCCATCAGCCCCACTGATGAGTCTAGGCAGCGATCCTGAAACGAAACGCATTACCTTCATCTCTCATACTCAACGTTCTTACGTTCCAAACATCCATCCTTTAATTCATTTATTACCAACTTACGTTTCAAAATAAATTCATTACCATCACCACTAGTTAATCCCTCAATTGGAAATCATCTAGCTACGATCATAAAAGACCGTCAATTCTACGCAAAAACATTAGCAAATAATACAGTTAAAATCAATCTACTTTCCTGACACGTATAGGAATCTCGTTCGTTATCTCCGTGAACAGAACATCATTCACCATACTTATCAGTTAAAATAAGACAGATCATACAGGGTAGTCATCAGAGACTTCCAGCACTCTGTACCGATAACAAAATAATCGAACAACTAACCGCCAGAGGACACAAAGTAAAAAATATTATCAATGCCAAACACAGAACAAGTAAGAAACCACTGCCATTTTTTGTTGACCTCGAACCACAAAACAGTAACAAACAAGTGTATGACAGTCAATACATAAGTCATACAAAGCTCAAAATCGAGCCTTTTGTTCCACGAGGAACAAAAATAATATAATCCAATGCACAAGATGCCAGGACATTCCAAAAATTGCTGCCTTAAACTATATAGCTGTGTGAAATGTGGGTAGTTCCACGACTTCAAAACGTGCCAAAAAACGAGAGACACTCTTGCTAAATGCGCACTATGCGACGACGACCACCTAGCAAATTATAAAGGCTGCAGGGATTGTCTACGGGGATTTAAAAAATGCAAGAAACAAAAGTGAGAAAGGAGTAAATACAAGGAAAACACTATCTCAATCAAACAGCATCAACCAGTCCAGTACCAGTACCTTATCTTAACACAGCAGAATCCTTAGTCATCAAAGAACTAGTAAGCTGTAATATATCAAAACATCCAGAGCATACGCTAAAATAATCAAGCCGAAATCACACGCAAACGCAAACAACAATAACGTAAATGTTATCGACATAATCACAAATTTCCTCCACAAATTCAAAAATATATTCACACACTTATCAATCAAAATAGCATGATACTAAGTATGCTTGCAACCGTTATCAATAACTCTTCACGACAAGTCACTAAGAATCGCTACAATGTCAATGGGATCTCCAATCGAATACAGGAGATCATATTATTCCTCAAAATTAATAAAATTGACATTCTCTTAATTTCAGAGAGTCACTAAACCTGTATGATCTATATTTAAAATACCAAACTACTCAATCTAATTCGGAAACCACCCCATCAACAGAGCTCATGGGGGCTCAGCTATCATCATAAAAAGTAGCCTTAACTATGTTAAGCTGGAACCCATCTACACCTACAAAATTCAGTCAGTAATGATAAAAGTGCTAGCCTTCCCAAGGCCATTAACTATAGCCTCCATCTATTCTCCACCGCGACATATCATCTCTACTCAGGAATATTTAGAATTATTAAATGTCCATTCATTATTGCTGGAGATTGGAACGCAAAACATACAGCTTCAGTATCATCACAACAAAAGGACGCAATCTGCATCAACATAGAAATTTATCTATTATCTACTGGACAGCCAACTTACTGGCCATCGAACCCAAATAAACTTCCGAATCTCTTAGATTTTGACGTTACCAAAGGCATTTCCCATATTAATTCATAAATTGAGGCCAATTTCAACATAAGTTTCGATCACAGTGGCATAAATCATAACCCTAGCACAGATATTATACAAAAACAACCCATGCCTAAGCTATGTTCCAACAAAACCAATTGAGAAAAGTTCCAAAAAATTAATACAACAATCAATCTAATTATACGCATTAAAAATCTACATGAAGTTGAAAACGCTGAAGAATACTTCATTAATACAATACAAAGAGCTATGCCAATGAGTAACAAGCAAAACTGAAAGCCAATAGATATACGTCTCCACATAAGAGAATTAGTTCAAGAAAAGCGTAGAGCCTAAGGCAGATGGCATAGAACCGAAAATATTTTGGATAAACAACTCTTTAATAGATTGATACATAAACATCATGCAACGCTTGCTAAATCAAGAAACGACTCATTCAAAAACTATACCACAAACCTATCACCTATTGACCATTCAATATGGAAAGTCATCAAAAAACCTAAGAAACCTTTGTAAACATTCCGCCAATTAAGAAACCAGATAATAGCTGGGCTAGAACAGATGAAGAAAAAGCGAATGTATTTGCAAATCATCTCGAACGAGTTTCTATGCAAATCATCTCGAACGAGTTTTTATGCCTCTACTCAATGATAATGATGAAAATGAAATTTTAAATTTTCTTAACAAACTTTTTCAAGACTCAGCATCGATAAAAACCGAAGTACGGCTTATAATAAATAAATTGAATGGCCATAAAGTGCCAGACTATGACTTGATAGTCGGGTCAATCCTAAAGCAATGAACCAAAAGGCATTTGTCTTGTTAACCACTATCTTTAATAGCATACTTAGAATTCGTCACTTCCCCATACAATGGAGGTTCGCCCAAGTCATCTTAATTGCAAAAACAGGCAAATCTACAGAAACTACATCATAGGCCAATAAGTCTCCTTCCATTGCTATCTAAGTGTTTGAAAGGCTACTCCTCATAAAACTGAAAGAAAACATCTCCCTAAAAAAGATAATTCCTGACCATTAGTTTGGCTTCAGGAAAAAACATTCCACTATTCAACAATGCCACAAAATATTATAAATTATGAAAAGTCTTAAAAGCAAGAAAATATGTGCAGCGGTCTTTCTGAACATCCAACGGGCCTTTGACAAGGTCTGGCATAACGGACTGTTACATACAAACTGAAAAAAAAATTGCTGATTCATTACCTCAGCAACTTCATCTTGAAATCATACCTCTCTGACAGATTCTTGCAAGTAAAAAAAAACAACGCAC